ATATATATATATATATATATATACTTTTGTGCCTACAACAATATTTATGCTTGAAAAAGGCTGGCAATTATGAAAGTGAAGACTTCTTCATCTTAGATTACATTCAACCAAATAATGAAATAAAATAAACATTTTCATTTTTTTGGAACAAATATTCAATTTATGAACGTTGGAAGGAATTTTGAAATCGTTTTCTATAAATTTAGCTTTCAAAATATCAATGAAACATGTTCATGCATTCAAAATAACTATGAATCCCAGCAGAAACGAGTACTGACTAGAATAAAATTTACCATAAGCACAAACAAGTAACAGCTACAGTTGTTCATTTACTTGTCAGAATCACCACTACTGCTTCTTAACATGGCTAAGGTCGGACCCAAAGCATTCCTTCTCATTGCTCTGTAAGACCATGCCCCGGTTTTCGTGGCTGTTAAGCTCGAGTTTCTTTCATCCGAGTCATTTTGCTTCTCAAGCTGAGATTTCTTCTCCTCCAGCGCCTGGTTTATGGCCGCCCAGCCATCACTAAGCTGGTGATTCTCTGCAGGTTTTGGGAAATAAAGGATAAAGAGAAGGCAAGAAGACAATTAGCAGAAGTGGAGCATCTATTGTTGTATTCCTGCTCTAAGATGAAGAAAAACGACCATTGCTTTCTCTAGAATGGTTTTGTGAATCTGAGTACTGAAAAAACTGTTCTGAACCACAGTTTGGCATATTATATTTGGAAATCAAGTTAAGAGAGCAGTTGTTACAGCTAAGTTCTTAATAGCTGGAAACAAACCTGTATGTTCGGAACTGATTTCAATCCTGTTGCTGCTAATGCTGCACACCGATTCCTGACTATTCCTTGGAGCAGAAGTCTGCATTTCCTGATTATTTACAAGAACAGCATTCTGCAATTCTTCTACTGAAATAGTGCTGGGAGTTGTTTTTATAGATTCAGTGGCTTCAAGCAACCGCACATCCAAAAGAGAAGCGAAATCAACCTTTAGAGCAAGAGCCAAAGCAAGACAGTTCAGGACAGCTAAAAATTACTAGCAAAAAGCATTACCATTACTATGATTTTACCGCTAGAGTTCCGTCTTCTTCATAAGAGCTCCCATTTTCTTGCCCTTCCTCTGATACCTCTTCCAACGTAATGGGATATTCAGGAAGTGGAAGCAGGACAACTTTTGACGAGCCGCAGTCATATGATGAAACCTTACCAACCTGAAACAGTGAAAAACTACACATCACTATATTACTATTTTTAGTCCTAAGTGTGATGAATAAACTAAATATTTATTAACAATCCTCCATCAGAACTTGTAGCATTAGTGTTCTTAATAATAATAATAATAATAATAATAAGAAAGCTTGTTTTTTTCATATTATGATGAATGTTATTAAATAAAGCTTCAGTGTGTGCAAGACTGAAATCATACTCTAAAAGGGGAAAGCTCAGGGCACCAAGTAGATGATAGCTCAACCATGCGGTATATCAGTACATCACCTTCCTGTAACATATCCAGAAATGTTGACTATGCATGCACATTAATATTTATATGGTTCAAGTAAGGATAACTGTCAAGAAAATTGAACTAGTAATCACACTTGTTTCAGTTGTGAAAAACAAGGATGTTAGGCTTCTTTAGAGGGCATATTAGATCAACTGAAATGAAAATGTTTGCTAGGTGAGGAATTTAGGTAAAATTTGAAGCAAAATCACAATTAAGTACAACGCAACAAGAGCAAATCATCTTTGCATACCTCAGGAAGACGAACAAGGGGTGGGAAGCTCTCAAACTCTAACAGCTCCTTAACTTCTTCAAATTCTTTAGCAACAGAATTTCCATTACACTCTTTGACAGCCTCTACTTGATTAACAATAGACTTTCCATAGACATCCACATTTTCAACAGTAGCATCTTCATTAGAAACTTTATCTAGCTCTGCTGCTGTAGCATTGGAAGTATCATCATTCCATTTATTAGAGGTATTCTGCCTACCCCATTTGATTCCTTTCTTCTTGCTGATTGTCCCATTCCACTGAAATGTTTTCTGGACCATCGAGTGATTCAGAGTGGAAGTAAACAAATTATTAAAGGCCAAATTAAAGAAGAATGCATTAATCAGCCAGTGGATTTCATGGAATTTAAACATATTTTTCTGAACAAAAACAACCAAAAAAAATTGCAACAGCTGGTGCAGGTTTGGAGTGAAACAACCGGTGAAACAAGTTATCTCAATAAAAATAAAAATATTCATAATGTTGCGCACTGAAAACTGCTCAGAAAATAACCGACCATTTTGAATCAGTCACAGCATTAGGAAATAAAAAAAAAACAAAAATATTCCAATCTCTAAACAAAAATTAATAATCATTTTCAAGTGATTCAATTAAATTAAAAAGAAGTTTCATAGAATTTAATGATTTAATGATTAATAATGGTTAAAACAAAGTTTAAAGTATATCATATGAATTAATATGATAAAGAAACATTCTCTTTTCATGAACTAATTTTAATATTTATGTGTAAGTAAAATTGTTAGAGCTTTTGCATGGCCATGTGCATCTCATTTAATACAGAATTACACAATTTTAACATTAACGAAAACTGCACCACTGAACTATCACTGCTTTCACCTTCTGCAAAGAAATTTCTCTTCAAAACATATTGAGTTTGTGAGTAGTTGAATGCATTATAAGCTCACAAACATTTAAGGTTTGCTGAAATGATATTTCCGTGTGATTCATTAAACAAATACAACAATAACAACAACAAAGCCTTAAACCCACTATGTGGGATCAACTACAAGAATCCTTTTTCTCCATTACGTCCTATTTAGTGTCAAAATTTCATTTAGTTCTAAAAAATTAAGATCATTTGTTATACAAACACCTAATCATTCTCATCTTGGCAACGCTTAACTTAGTATTATGCTTCTCTTTTAAAGGCCAACATTCAACACCATAGAGCATTGCAGGTCTCACCACCATCTTATAAAATTTTCCTTTCAGTTTAAGCGGTATTTTTCTATAACACAAAAGGTCTCAAGCATTCGTCCAATTCAACCAACATTAACATCCCCATCTATATCACCATCACTTTGAACAACAGACCAGAGATATCAAAATCGTTCACACCTTTTAATAATTTGATCAACCAAAGTTATACTTCTGTCACTAGAGCTACTACTACTAAAATTACAATCCATGTATTCAGTTTTAGTTCTACTCAAATGAAGGCCTTTAGACTCCAATGTAGATCTCCCTAATTTAAGTCTTTCCTGGGCTTTTTCTCTCGTCTTATCCACGAGAAGGATATCTTCCGCAAAAAACATACACCAAGATGCATTCTCCTGTAAATGTCCAGTAAGACCATCCATAACTAAAGCAAAAAGATATGTGCTTAAAGCCATTCCCTCAAGTAATCCAACAAAAATAGGAAAATATTTGGTCAATCCTTCTTCAGCTCGAACATAGGTAATAACTCTAGTACACGTATCTTTAATGACTTGAATATAAGTCATATCAACACCTTTCTTCTCAAGACATCTCTAAAGGATATCTCTTGGAACCTTATTGTAAGCTTTTTATAAACCAATAAAAATCAAATGTAGATCCTCCTTATTATCTCTGAATTTCTCCATCAAACCTCTCAATAAATTCCATAGTAGACCTGCCCGACATAAATCCAAATTGATTTTGAGAAATCTTTGTAATACGTCTTAACCTATGTTCAATTATGCTATCCCATTATTTTAAAGTATGACACAACTTAATTCCTCTATAATTTGCACACTCTCGTGCATCCCCTTTATTCTTAAAAATGGGGACCAAAATACTCTTCCTCCACTCCTTAGGCATCTTTTTAGTTTTAAAAATAATATTAAAGAGTTTAGTAAGCCAAGAAACTCCCAAATCTCCTAAATATTTCCATACTTCAATTGAGATATCATCAAGTCCTACAGACTTTTCACCACTAATTTTCTTTAAAACCTCATCAACTTCTTTTTTACTAATGTGACGGTAAAAATGAAACGTTTTATTATTATTAATGATATTAAGATCACTAAAATTGAGATCACTAAGGTCGATCGTCCTTTCAGAAATTTTATTAAAAATTTTATCAAAATAACTCGCCCACCTATGTTGAATATCATTTTCTAAAAAAAACATTTTTTGATTTTCATTTTTAATACACTTTACTTGAGTTAAATCTTTACTTTTCTTTTCTCTTTGTTTGACTAGTTTATACATATATTTTTCACCCTCCTTAGTGCCTAATCTATTATAAAGATCACTAAAAGAAAAATTTTTACATTTCAGATTGTTCCTATAGACTCCCAACGGGTTCTCCCAGTTCTCTAAGCTTTTACATTTAAACCAATTTTTATAACATAACTTCTTTTATTTTATTTTTTCTTGCTTATTATTATTCCGCCACCAATTATTTTTATTTATAGAATTTTTTTTTTATTCTCCAAGTACATCTTTTGTTACTTGTTTAATAGTATTTATTACTTTATCACACATAACATTTGATTCTTCATGAAATTCTTCATGAACATCCCAAATGAACATCCTAAATTTTGAAATCTTGAATTTTACTCATAAAAATAATTTTATCTGTGTCTTTTAGGTTCCCTCATCTAATTCTACGATAGTGAGTTCTGGTATTATTTATTTTATAACTCTTCATCATAAAATCTAGAACTAATAATCAATGTCGGGTACTTAAATCCTCACTTGGAATGACCTTACAATCTTTACAAACTCGACGATCTCTTCTTCTCATAAGAAAATAATCAATTTGTAATTTATTATATCAATCCTTATAAGTAATAAAATGTCTTCTTTTTTCTTGAATAAAATATTAGTAATAGCAAAATCATACACAGAAAGCAAAATCTAAAATGGCTCCACCTTCTTCATTAGTCGCTCGAAAACCGTAACAAAAAATTTTAAGGATTCGTTAAACAAATAAAATAACAAATCCTCAATTGGAAAACAATATCATGGACAGGCCAGAAGGTTGTCTAGACAAGATTTCAAGGTTGGTTTTGTGTATGATTTCCAACAAAATAAAAGTTGGTAATTTCATGTGATTAAAGTCCACCTTCTTTTTTGTAGTCATTTCACTGTACATCACATGGTTTAATTCTGCATTCTTTTTAGAAAGGAAGAAAAAGATTGCAAGGAATACTAATAGAATTTGATATCAATGTAGTAGAAAGTTGACAATTTGATATCGAATGCCTGTGGTGCAGGTTTGAGCAAGAGGAAGGAGTAAGCTTTTATGCACAAATAGGGAGAATAAGGAGAAGAGGAGAGGAAGCCGTGGCATGTGAGATAATAGAAAAGAGGTAAGGAATCTTACTAAGGATAGACGTGAGCGGTCGCTCGTGTAGCATAGATCAAGCCAAAGCCAAAGTCTGGGAGCATCATTTCGTGCATCCTATGCAGGTTCAAATAGGAGCGACCTTCATATGGGAAAAACGCTTGCATGTGTGGCCTAAGGCGCCGGTCTGAGTAAATATGTAAGTGAGGGCTTTGTTTTTTTTATGTTTAATAGTAAATTGAGTTGTATTTAAATTATTTTATGATTATTAATGAATTAATGAATAATATTTTATTTTATGATTTCAATAGAAGGAAAGAAAGGGTATAACTAGGATTTTATTAGTTTTTCTGGAATAATTAGCTGTTTAAACTTATAGATTAAATATTATTAACTTCTATTACATAATGGGAATTAATATGAATTATTAAAACTAGTCGACAAATCAAACAAAATGGCTGGGATATTAGTGCATTAAGGGTTCAATGTGACAATAATCATCTACAAAAGATCAAGACGAGTCATCATGTTTCTAAGTTATAGTAATATTTCATTTGAAGCAATTCCTCACTTCAGCTATTCTCTTTTATGTCCTATATCAATGAAATTAAACTACAACCGATTTTTTATATTAATAGACATGAGAAATGCATATTACATGGTGCACAACTAATTTTCTATTAAGAGGTCATACCATTACATGATATTTAAATTCTAGTAGAGAGGCATATATCATATTATTACATGACTTCGAAAAATATGTATATTAATAATCCTGCATAAACGTTGCATAATGGTTTACCTATGAAGTTATTAGACCATTGCATGCCCTTCTGATTATAATAAAAGAATATTTATTCATGAGTAGATGAATGCAAAGTGTAAATAAGAAAGTAATGAATATAATGAAGAACAAAAATAGTGTATGAATGGATGCAGGAGCATATTAAGAGGAGTTCATCCCTTTATATTATTTGGCTGGGGACACTAGGTACCCATGCGCGTATTTATTTTCCTACCATCTCATGAAATTGTGTAATTTAAATCACCAACCGCTATGCCGACGAGTGTATATTAGGCAGGATTGACTAAACACATTTTTACCTTGACAATCATATAATTTATATCACCAAATAATATCAGTCTACCGTGAGTAAAATTAAAGTTAAATATTAGATTTTGAAAAGTAAAGTAAAAAAATTAATGTTCTATTCTTCTTTTCATCTAACAGTCTTGCTCTAAAAACACTTTCGATCCCACACCAACTGACTTCTCTTTTGAGTCAACCATAATGCGACCGAGGCAGATGACTCAGCCAAACTAAAATCTTAATAGCACTTATCCTAACTTGTATAATCAGGAACCAGTAACTACTACAATAATCTAACTTAAACGCCACAAACATACAATATATTTTCGTTCATAATTCATATGCATTCACATATACTTAGAATCGTGCAAAATCATATAATAAAAAATCATATACAGAGCTGCTAAAATTCAATATGTATAAAAATTATTTACCCAAAAGTTTATACAACATCCAAAACTATACCATACAAAAGGCATACAATATCACACAAACTACTCGCTCTAGTGCTCATTACCTCTTCATGAAAGTTAACAACATATAAGAGTGAGCTACAAGCTCAGCGAAATAATCAAAGCTAAAGAAAGATTTTATATATAGAAAGAAAGAAAACATGCATCATTATTTATACCTCATATGCATGATATTATACATGACAATAGAACATATCATAACATATTTTAATTATGTAAAACATCTAAAGAAATGCATAAAAAGCGGTAAATTATGACGGTTGAATAAAGCATGTGTTTCATCAGTTCATGTGCAATCATGGATATATATTTAATAGCAGTATAAAAAAAAAATAATAATAATAATAAGGGGGAAATTTCAACTAGTGGAGTTGATTCGATCAATCTTCTCATTAGTTATTTTTTCAAGATACATATCTCATTTCAATGAGATGAAACGGAAATCGAGAAGGAAGAAGATATAGAAGAAAGAATTTGGTAAGTTCTATTTGTGCCTTGAGTGTAGCCCAGCAAGAGTTTTTAAACATTCAGCTTCACAAGCAAAATTTTAAATTTGTATACTACAAAAAAATAAATAAATAAATAAATTGAGAAGAAGCTTCATTGTCCATGGAACATCATAAGCATAAGTCAGAAACAATAATAATTTAATTGCTAGTAAGATAGAATTATACCACTGGTTGATCTGCCCACGCACTAACCATATCTGCAAATGGCAAAACGTCATACAAAGAATTAATACACTCATTATTTATCATGCCAAACAAAAAAAATACCTTTTCAAAAGTTTATTATTAACGACAAACTTATTTACAGATATTAATATTTTTGTTTTGAATTTTGAATACAAAATAACATTCAGTAGACTTGATTACTGGCAGAATGTTATGAAAGTAGTACCACCTTGCTTGCTTGAGACATTGGCTTGAAAGCTAAAATTTCAAAACGATTCAACGCATCCTCAGCATGAGCAAACATAGAGAAGCCAAGAAAAACCTCAAGTGTTTGACAGGTACATTCTAGTATATTAAGTGGGGCACACCCATTGCATAGGCCTAGTTTTCTATATTTTGAAACTACTGCTCACTATTCTTACTAAACACCTCATCACAATGGGAGTACCAAACATACTCTTCACTTGGTATCTAAAGGTTCACATCCTCAAAACTTCCAGAAACTAAAGCCAAATTTCAACAACAAGATCGAGCGCACCATAAAAAATCCGCAACTTACAACAGAGTGTAACGTCTCATTTCAAATACCCGAGGGAACTAAAAAGGGTGAGAGAACGCGAGAAGTTGGGAAAACAAAATGTACTTTCGATCTATAAATCAAAAGCGAGTTTGACTTATCTGTAGAGTTGATCGGCACGCGTGAAGAAAGAAGGCCTCGATCTCAGTGGTTGTAGCGCGCGTCTAAGGCAAACAGGATTGGCGTGAAAGTTGAGCAACTCTGCGGCACAAGGAGCGGTACTCTGGTCGATACAAGGAAAACAAGAGGAAAGAGCTCTCGTGCATTTAGAGGACACGAGGCTCGCGTGTAGCGGAGGAAGAAGGCTGACCCCAAAAGTTTTGATGTTGAGCAAGCAAACTCGATAGCATCAGTTTATACACATAACATAGGCTTCATACAAACACATGTTGCAAAGCCAAACAATCGACATATGTGTTTAGCAAACCTATAGAATACTTTGTAAGTTAAGGTGCCATCAATAGAGGCTTATTGTATAATTTTAGTGTGATATATTATGTTATGAAGCTAAGTAAATGATAATTTTAAGTAACCATAAATGTAAATTTAAAAGATTTAGATGAAAGAATTATTATATATGAAGGGAGAAAATTGATAAAATAAACTAGCAATAATTTTAATATATTAGTAGAATAAAGTTAATCAAGATTAAAATAAAAATTATAATTTCTAAGCTATGTTTTAATTATAACATACTTAAAATTAAAGATGAAGGATAATAATCTAAATTAAAAAAAGAATAAAAGAAAAAAAGAAAATAATAACTAATAATAATTAATTATCGTAATTAGTAATATGAATAAAACTTTACTAATATGTATATCTTTTAATATAATAGGTGTTCAATTGAAGGAGTTGGGGCTTAAGAAACAAGTAGTGGAGAACATCGAGGTGAATACCCATATTCTTATATTATAGTAATATGTTGCTTCTTCTCAAGCAAATGCATTTACCACTACTATTATATTTATAGAACTGCACATTCATGATTTATGATCAAACACATTTGTTGTTAGTGTTAAATTTATAGAGCTTCTTATCCATGATTTATGGTTCTATTCAATTTAGTTCATATTATTGGAATGACACGGGTACTCAATATTGTTTAAATTATCATAAATATTGATTCGTGTGCAAGTATATTAATTGTTATACAAATAAGAATGGAATAATCAATACCAGATAATGTTATAGTATGTTTGCATATACATGTTTGACTATGTTAAAGTCACTCCTTTATAGTACTGGTAGGGAAACACTAAGGTATCCCTGCATATAAATAAAAAAGATTATTGATATGAAGTATTTTTCTTGATATAATTTTTAGACAGTACCCCTGTGATGATTGTGCAGAGATAGAATGATATAAATGTTCTTTATACGGTAAAACTCATTGAATAATATGAAATATCGTAAGTGATAATAAAATATTTTATATTGATTTATTAAAAACATAACTGACATGCATATTTTTTTTCCTTGTATCATTATAATTTAAGAGTGAGAGTATTCATTGGGCTGCTCCGTCAATTCAGATGAAATAATCATGTGCTAACTTAAGAAAAATAATTCTTTGTAAGTTTTAATGTGATTATTTGTTTGAAACTATTACATTTAGAATTTTTTGAATATTATGAATGAATACCTACATAAATTGTATGAATGCACACTTGATTTATCCCTATGATACACGATTGTACTATGTTATGAATCTGATGAATATGCTTGTGAAAGCACTAATTGCAAGTACTCATTCGTTATAATTCATGCATATACTAAATGAAATGCTCATAATTAATGTTTATTACAGGAATTATGATTTAAGGAATATCACAGTGATATTATAGGTAACTATTACATAAATATACTTGCAAGTATGGATGATAAAAAAATAACGGGATTCCCAACTTCTAGCATTTAGACCATGACAAAACTCTGAGAATCAATAAGATTAAATGTTGACAAAATGTAGGGAATTATTTTTTAACAAGGAGGCTATTCATAACTGCTATATTAGAGAGAGCTCTAGTTTATCAATAGTTAATTTGGTCATTAGACTAGGTGACTAACGAATGATATGGCATCAGAATAGTTGTGGTTTATACAATTACAAGTGACATTATTATGATTAAATTGATAACTCTTATAAACATGCTTATGATTACGTTTGAAAAGATAAAATATATATATTTTATATAAAAGTCATGATTTACTGCATTACATAACTTTTTTTTAACATGTTTAATATGGTTATAGTACGTTGTGACATGTACTGTGAATATAGTGGATACGAGCACACGTTTCTTTTCCGTCAATAAAATCTTATTTTAGTCTTGATTATTTCGCTGAGCTCGTTGTTACTTACTTTATGTTGTTGACTTTCAGGAAGAGGTAAGGAGGACCGGAGCGAGTAGCCGGGTGTGACCTGTACAGCTTTTGCATTTCATTATTTTGGGTTCTTGTACAAACTTTTAGGAACGTCTTATTTTAACAATAGAAATTTCTAGGCGACTAAATAGGATGATGACCATAACAACCCATGTATTGATTATGATGTCGGCTACGCGAATGTTAGCTTCTCGCCCTACTTCATAAAAAAAAATGTGTTTTGAAGATCTATTATGCATAAATGACAAAGGATAATTGATAATCAATATTTGATTAGTCACCCCATAATTTCAAAATGACAAAAAAAACAATAATGATGTAAATACACAAAAGAAAATTAGATATCATAATGAAATCATTTTAGTATTTTAAATTCTATTATCATTATAATATTTTTACTGCTATAGCATGTGTACTAGTCAAAGACGAAAAAAAAAAATCTAGTTGAGTGTAGAACTTTATACAACAACAACAACAAAAACAAAGCCTTAATCCCACTACGTGGGGTCAGCTACATGAATCCTATTTCTCCATTGCGTCCTATTTAGTGTCATAATTTCATTTAGTTCTAATAAATTAAGATCATTTTTTATACAATAAACCCAAGTCCTCCTAGGTCTACCTCTGCCTTTCTTAACATTCAAATCTAAAACATCAACTCTTCTAATCGGATCATCAGATAATCGAAGTTTAATGTGACCAAACCATCTAAGACGACATTCTTTACAGAGTGTAGACATTTATATGCTCCAAAAGTTTGCATCCTAGCCTACCTTGAGAGAGTTTATGTTTGATTCATTTCATTTAATTCAATATGACGTGTGACATAGCCCAATTATTCATTGGAAAATCATGCTTATGCTCATTAGCAAGGTGTTAAATCCCACGTTTTCATGTTTTGTGAGTACTAAATGCTATAGTAAGGTTCCATTTGTTCTCAATAGCAAGCTATTCAGTCTCCAATAGGTCTTATTTTTGTTTGGTTCTAATGGTATGACTTGTTGAAGATGCATGTTTTAATTCTTTGGTATATAGTGCCAACACTTCTCAAACTGAATATCAACTTTGAAAGAAATCTCTAAATGGACCATAAATTAGGGTCAGCTTGTAGTAGTTTTCCCAATTAATTGATGGGTTGAAGCAAAGGCAAGCTCCATCAACTTATCTCTTTAAGTTATTGGACCCTACTGTCAAAGTTATATTGTAAAATTAACCTTTCTTCAAAAGAAAATTGAAGGCCTTATATTCATGTAAAATGAGATCTCTTGTCGTTTTAGGCTTATAGCATATATGCTTGTTACAAGGTTCAAGTTTTGTTAACTCTAGTCTTTCGACATAGAGAATCCAATTTAAGGTTCAAGTTTTGTTCACTCGTTATTGGACGTAGAGAATCAGATTTAAAAAATAAGACTTATAACACTACTCTGTAGGCAAAGTTATCCATTTGTTCTCAATGGCAAGCTATTCAGTCTCCAATAGGTCTTATTTTTGTTTGGTTCTAAATGCATGACTTGTTCAAGATGCATGTTTTAATTCTTTGGTATATAGTGCCAGCACTTCTCAAACTGAATATCAACTTTGAAAGAAATCTCTAAATGGACCATAAATTAGGGTCAGCTTGTAGTAGTTTTCCCAATTAATTGATGGGTTGAAGCAAAGTCAAGCTCCATCAACTTATCTCTTTAAGTTATTGGACCCTACCGGCAAAGTTATATTGTAAAATTAACCTTTCTTCAAAAGAAAATTGAAGGCCTTATATTAATGTAAAATGAGATCTCTTGTCGTTTTAGGCTTATAGCATATATGCTTGTTACAAGGTTCAAGTTTTGTTAACTCTAGTCTTTCGACATAGAGAATCCAATTTAAGGTTCAAGTTTTGTTCACTCGTTGTTGGACGTAGAGAATCAGATTAAAAAATAAGACTTATAACACTATTCTGAAGGCAAAGTTATCTGCATAAGAATATGATTGACTTGACAATGATTTAGATTTGAGCTTCAAAGAGAGGTTGTCTCAGAGCGGGAGAGAGAGGGAGGGAGGGCTGAAGACCATGAGGCACTCAGAACCTACCTCGAGGCTTGTGCCTTTATGGTAAATATGAGCCTTTTGCTTTTTTTTTTTTGAGGCATATGCCTCAAGGTTTTATCAGGATGTTTTTGAGACATACATCAAATTAATACATAATAAAAATTTAAAAAATCTTTCTAATATAATATATCTAACATAGCTTATATCATAATTTAAGCTTCTTTGTTAGAATTATGAGAGTCAAGCAAAAGAGAGAAACAAAGGGTTGTTGTTTAAAAAGTGGGAATCAACAGAAATTATACGAGAGAAAAAAAGCGCAGCTGGTTGGGAGATACATGAGCAGGTAGGCTACAATTATCTGCAAGAAGTTGACTAAGAGTGAGAGCTGTGATTGAATGTGACTGCGTGTGGATTTAACGATCATGAAGTATTAAACTTTTAGAAGAGTACTTTTTGTTATATTTTTTTCATGCTCTCACTTTAGATTAAGATTTAAAATTAAGTGCTTTCTTTTTCTTATTGTGTGAATATAGTTAATGTTGAAAAACCAAGTTTATTAGTTCATGATTTATGACAGTTATGAATCATTGCTAATTTTATTTTATTTTTTTTATAGAGGTAAATTCAATGTATATGCCTCAAGCCACTTCATGTCTTACGACTTCCCTTGTTAAGGCAAAAAAATTCTCAATTATAATTTGTCTTTTTAAACCTCACTTCTGACAAGACTTTGGCATAAGAGGACAATAAGAAAGATGCGCATAAAAAGCGTGTGATCAACCTAGACTAAAGATTCTCGCAATCATACTAAGGTGGCTATGGCTTGTTGAAGAGAAGCACCCAAGAGGAAAGACACACAATAAAGGAAAAACAAGTTATAATGACAGTACCTAAAAGAGAACACATGAAAGTTTATGTTATTAAATAAATCCACATACATTCACAATAAACATAACACCACAACCCCACAAATTTCATAGCACATACTCACTCTTTAAGCTATACACAGCCAAATACATCCAACCAAAAATCCATCCACCATCCCACAAGCCGATAAAAACCAAAATACAGGCACTTTACTGACAACTTCTCCAACCTTTCTCTCTGCAGCTGGTTGTGACAATCAATACCATGGAATCATTTCCTTGCATGATACTAGAGACGATCAATAACAAACATAGACAATATAGATAGATGATGCTAGATAGAAAACTTTTAGATGTTAGGTTGAGTGTGGTTGGTACTAGGCTTACAAGGATTAAGAAAGTTGGAGAAGAGAAGTATATCTACACATCACAATATGGGTGCTTCATTCAACATTAAGGTAGTTATAATCCTCATCTATACCAAGAAAGATAAGCAGAAATCAATTGACCAACCTCAGCTCTACAATGGTTAGAGAAAATCCTTTGAACTGACTATAGATGGTGCTAAGGCCACAATGAAAGATGGGAATTCAATAAAGCTCGATCATGAAACCTACTCTGTACCTAAGAGAAGTATTCATTCATTGAGAAGTCATTCTAGAATAGTCCATATCAATGGTAACAAGAAAGCTCTTTTATTTACTTTCAAAAGCATAATTTCCTTTTATCTTTAGAGAGGAAGCTGATTCATTGCTTATGTGGGTTGTATTAAATCCCATTTGACAAGGAAATGAGGTAGAGTGACTAATAGAACAGAAAGTCAGGTCAGTTTCAGCTCTAGGAACATATAATCAAGCACGACCCCTACTTAACTGTGTTACTTAGCCTTCTCTGCAGGACCAAGTAATTACAGTCCTAAAAGACCCAAACCTTGAGTTATCAATCTATATGCAATACAAGGATGTCAATTTTAGCATCCTCTCGAGACTGCAAATTTGAGCCATTAGATTTGTGGTCATTGGTCGAGCATGCATCAAGATCGAGGGTGCATGGACAAAACTGAGCTAAGGACTAGGCAGCCAAAAAAATTGGGAATGCACTTGATACGTAAGTTCTGCATCAGACCAGCCCATGCTCAATCCCCCCTTTCCAGACCAGATAATCAGCCATTGAAAGCCCAGCCTTTAGGCGTTTAAGAAAAAAATAATAATTAAAAAAAAACGGGCTTTTGGTCTATCATCAATGAGATCTAGCATTGTTAAAACCTTAAAAAACAATAGCACAGAATAATCTTATAAGCCAAGAATTAAAATGAAAAGCATGATTCGAATAACGACATTTTAGAGCAGTAAGAAATAAAGCATGCCTCTTAAAACTTATTTTATTAATATAAACATAAGACATGATTAAAATCTACCATTCTAACAGCAGGATGTCAAACGTCACACATCAGCTGAAAAATAATATACGTTTAGCTTGCTGTCTGGAAAACATGGTCTTTAAATTTTATACATAAAATAAAGATAAATTAAGGCATTATGATTGTTACCAGAAGGCACAAAATGAATGTGACCGGGCCGAACTATAACAGGAACTATTTCTTCGTCGTCATTAATAACAGGAACTATTTCTTCATCATTAATAACAGGAACCATTTCTTCGTCCACATTACTATTCTGATCAGCATTTGCATGTTCTAGTGGCTTTTCCTGGTTGTTACCTTCTACGATTTCGTTCTCAGTTTCATTCTTAATCAACTGCAAATTCAGGAAAAAAAAACATTACTTTCCCACGAGTTGCCAAATAAATTATGTCTTGATATTCACCACATGCACGTCTGTGAACATGCACTTACTGAGCTGCTCGTTGCAGTTACACCTGTATGAATACTTCAAGCTGACAAGCAGATTTTCAGTCTGTGGTACTCAAACGATGTATCACAATTGTGGAACTTTATTTAAATTATTTGCAGAATACAGTGCCAAAATTGACACCAAAAAAAAAAAAAAAATCAATTTTGACGATCAATTGTCATAATGTAAAAGTGACACATGCAGCATGCATAGCAGATTCAAATACCAGATCTATTCAATCAATATAGAAACTTTTGAATTAAATGAAATTCTGTCGGATATCATTTAGTAGGAAGAGAAGGGCAATATAATAATAACTGAAATTATCTAGAAAATTATTTTTATAGGAGTTAGATATCTAAATACATAGAAATTGGAAGGTATGTATGTAAATGCCCCTTTTATTTTCTTTCAGTCACCACATCTCTTGTGGTTTCAACTTTTTTTGAAATATTCTCTCTTATCAGACCAAAGAAGAAAGAATAAGAATTTTGTATAAAAAACCTTCAGTGTCTTTCTCTTTCTATCTATTCCCTAACAGCCTCTCCCTTAGTTTTTTTCTTTCTCTTTCATATTATCACTAAATTTTTACCAAAAAAAGTCCCTCCTATATGTATCTCTCTCCGCTGCCCACGTTGTACGCCCACTCTCATGCGCCATCTTCCCTTTCCGTGCAGGGCAAGCAACGACTCACGGCGCCTCCAAAAAGTAGAGACCCGCCGCCTCCCTGCAGCAGCCAACCCATTATCAAAAGCTGGAAAAGTAAGTTCGCATAAGTTTATCTTAAACATTCGTCTTCTTCTTCACCCGAAATAATAAATTTATATAAATTTATTTAGAATTACTCAAAATTTTAGATTATAAGAAATTTTTTATAGTATATTTCTTGTGTATTACTTGTTAAACGTTTTTTTTCATCCACATATATTTTACCTTTTATATTAATAAATTCGAACAAAAATTTTTAAACCCGGCAATATCGCCTCCCACCGTGGTTCTTAGTAGTCAAGTTGAAACTCTTCAAAGAAATCGCCGCCAACCTCGAACATCACGCCGTTCTATTCTCCTGGCTACCAAAAGTTCCAAAACTCCAGCTATTATGCCATTTCCTTCGGATGTTGCTGCTTGAACCACTCTCGATTCCTTTGCTCGATCTCACCTTCTTCAGTTCATTCCAGTCATCCGGATGTCCTGCTGTTTCTTGAAAGCGCTATAGCACGAGCCTGCTAACGTATCCTTCGCCCCATCTTGCGACTCTGGATCTGCCTAAAGTAGCGTTGTTGCCCTAATACCACAATTTTTTTTTATGGTTGTTGCTCGAGTCAGCTCCCAATTACTTCACCTAATCTCGCAGCTTTGGATCTACCTAAAGCAACAATGTTGTTGTGAAGTCGCATGAATCCTTTTGATTGCTGCCACTCACGTTCGTTCTAGACATCGTCGCTTGATACAACAATGGTCAAAGGCGGCTCTGTATGAAACTCCACGATCTTTTTCATAATTTCTTTTAGGGTCGTTAATCTCCCCTCAACGTACGAAAGCATTTCGCTATGGACGAGATATGCTTTTTCATTTCTGATCTGATGTGGCTTACTTGTCCCTCTAATTCATCAGCATTTATTTTCTCCGTCGTCATTACTCCCTAGAATGTTTTCAATCACAGACGACAGAAACACCTATATGTCGATGTGTCGTTGATGCTTTCCCAAATATTTAAAATCACGTCTGTACCACGAGATAATAAGCCCTTTATCAATCCAAATCAAGTCAGTACATTGAAGAGGCCTGTTATCGCAAGCTTGATCCCAAAAACGTTACCTTCTCTTTTCAGACCAACAGTGACCGAGATCTAAGGAATGATAAAAATCAAAGGTGAAGATGTCGAATCGAATCTTGATGATTCACAGATCAAATCGTGATGCTTCGCAAAGTATTTGAATCACAACAGTAAGTTCAAATGGCGACTGTATCGACGGGGTTCGAACACTTTGTAAGTCACGATCCAGTGGTTGTTTCCCAGATACATGAATCGCGATTGAATCACATAAGGCATGCCACTACATCTAGCTCAATCGTGATTGTATTGTCACAAGACATGTCGTGATGCCGCTGTTAGCGTTCTTGAATCATGGCTTTTTCGTGATGTAGGATCCCATCGTTGGCGTCTTAACTAGCTCAAATCATTCTTGTTTCATCATGAGCCACATCGTGATCTCATCCTCGCTTCTCTGCTATCACACCCTAACTAGCCCCCATTTAAGGGTCGACTGAGGTGCGACAAATGCAAACAATGCGGCCAGACTAAATTCTCACTAACACTCGTCCTAATTTAGAGAAGCAGGATTCAATAGGTGATGAACTATCCAACTAAATCGTTGCAAACATACTTAATATATTGTATTTCTTACTTAATTCATATATATACTTGAAAGAGTGAAAAACTATAACCTCAAAATATGAAAATTATATAGAGTTACTAAATCCAAAAATAATAATAGCACGTATTTAAAATGTCAGCAAAAGCTCCCAAAATTATACAATACAAAAGTTGTACATATCACACCTAACTCCTCCCCCCGATGCTTGTTGCCCCTGCTTGGATGACCACGACATAGAGTGGGTAGCAACTAGTTCAGAGAAATAATAAAGGCTAAAATCAGGTTTTATACATAGAAAATAAAAAATGTGTATACTCATATGAAACTGTATATGCTTACACACAAGTCGCAATATGCTTATAATAGTAGAGAACATGAAAAAAGAGCAGAGAGTATAGAAATCAATACTATCGTGTAAACATGTATAGTTATAAGCATGGATTCATGATAATCAAAAAGTAGTTTTTTTTTATGTAAACATAACAATGTCATTTCATAGTAATGTCACTTATAAATGTATAGCCCTCAACTATATTTATGTCTTTTCATCATGAGTCATTACCCTGTCACAAAAGTCAAATAAATTATCGATAAAGGTTGGCCTCCACAACATAGCAGTTACAATAGCCCCCTAATATCAATAGTTCTCTAAGTTTTGTCACCCCTTAATTAAAACGATTTTAGAATTTCGTCGCCACATGAACACCAGGAGTCGAAAATACATCTCTGCATAGCGTACTTGTAAGCAAACATGTAATGGACCTACAATATTTCTAGTGACATTTCTTGAAGCATAATATCTGTAGCAAACATTTATCAGACCTTTCATAAAGCATAATTTCTACAATCAAGCATTTCATATATCAAAGGCATGAATCACAACAAAACAGATACCTACAAGTAATTAATTTCATATGCATATTATTTGGTATCATAGCATATCTTAATAATATCACATGTATTACAAGAAGAAATCAGCTTGCATTCATATATTCAGTGCATGTATTCTTACACAATATGCAGAAAATTTTAAATGCATCGATGTCCAACAAGAAATCATATGAAATCCTATAGAAAATTATTTTTCTTAAATTAGCACCAGATGATTTTGACATGACTTAACAGATCAGCCCTACGGCGAGTTCCGTCTTGCTCGTCTCGAGCTCGTCGCCTCGCATAAATAACCTGAAAAATTATAAGCATCGTTGGAATTCCTGAAATTTCATATGACGATTTAACTCAAAACATGCCTTAAACGCCAACACATATCTCAAACAAGCTTCTCGACATAAATATGCCCTTTCAAAATTGTCTATTTTCTTCCCAACTCTTCCTAACGCCTCAAAACTTCCTTCCCCCTAGCTAATTTCATGTTAAAATAATAACGAAAATTCGCAAGACCACTTACGACACTTCCGACACTAGAGCAGTGCCTCTGACAACTATCGGAAACAAAAAATGCATAAAAATCGAGGCAAACATCGAAATAGAAATGTGAGAAAGCAAATGAATGTTTCAAATGTTGCTAAAATAAGTTTCATACCTTTCCTTATCATTATCGAAACTGAACCACAAGCTTCAGCTCCCAAGTGGCCACTCCCTCTCCTTGTTTACCTCTTGCTACAATTCTCGTGCTGAAAATTGGCATAAGGGAAGGAATAGGAGAGAGAATCATGACATATAACTCGAACGCTACTAATCACCGCCTTACAATCCAATCCAACCGTTGCATGCGTCGTTAAGTGCAGGGAAAGGTCGGTTGTAAGATTAAATATGTAGGAGATACGCCACGGGGGCAAGTAAATCAGACGCCAAATCCTGTCTTGTGATAATTTCCTCCACAGTTTGAGCAGATATGTCCAAAGCAGTGGGGTTAGACCCATCCTTATTTACTTGAGCTTTAGATTTCAAACTTTGATGGAGCCTGTGAGAAGGGTATGCCCAAACATCTTACAGTGGATACAATAAAAAGATTTATGTTCCATAAAAATTTGTTGCCAATAGGCATTGAGTTTTGCCTAACCAAACTTCAGTAATATCAGGTAAAGTTATATCCCTTATCACAAGTATTCTGGCTACAAAAGGCCTGGTTAGATTGAATGTGGGTAGATCTAGCTTTATAGGATTCCCAAGCATGGCCCCAATAGAGTCGAGAACCTACTGATTAAAAAAATACAGCTTGAGACTTTGATGTAAAAGAGAAGATACAGTGGTTTTAGTGAGTGGGTACAAAGAATCCACTCACAGGGAATACAACTCACTCAAAAGAGACTTTACAATAAACGTATAACCAAAAAAATCGAAACTCTTATTCATGGTGGGTGGACTTACACTTCCCCTCCCCCTGGTTTTAGGAAGAGAGTCCAACACCAAACTGAGATTAGGTCTTCTGCCCGAAACTATCACAACCATCCTGAAAATTCCTGAATTCTGGAATTCCTTTTTTTTATCCTAGATTTGTAAACTTCTCATTGATCTGCTAGTGTTTGTCTCATCTGATCTATTTGTGAATCTTTGATGGAGAGC